TACATACATACATACATACATACATACATACATACATACATACATACATACATACATACATACATATTTGCACGGATCACTGTTTTGCAAAATATATTACCTTTAACCCCAATAATATTTAAATACACACAACCATGTGCTCTTACACATGTAGCTATGCCAGCTGTATGTATAAGGTTTGCAGCTAAAGAAAAGGCGTGAAAGTCACTTCAGTTTTCAGCGAGTTRTGATTTATTAAACGTGTTGATACTTCATTGTGCCTGCTACACTTATTACACTGAGTGGAGCAGCCGACCATTCTAAGATGGCGGCCCCACGTCTCGTCAGCTCCAACAGGCAGAAGCGGTGATTATGGTACCTAAGTCCTTTTTTATTATATCTATGGGAAGCTGCCACTGTTGATGTTTGTCACAGTATGATGACATCATCCTGGTAAGCTGATGCTAACCTCTGCTAACGCTTCTAACACTGCTGAAGATAATATTTAAAATCTAAATTCAAAATGAGTTCATAAAAATCAATATGGGTGGTACCTGTGGTCCAGCAGTTTGAAGTGCAGCTAAGTGAGCTACAACCCAATAAAATGTTGGTGGAAAATGTTTAACACTCAAAAAGTAAGCTAAATAATGAAAATATGTTAATGACATTTTTTAACATTTCAATTTACACTTGGCACCCCATAAGAAACATTGTATCATCATCCTAAAAAATCCATATATTGTACTGTGATAAAGCTGCTGATTTACACTCCTAGTACATACCAGACTGTAACTCTTATTGCTACCAAAAGTTTTAGTTTTTACATGGAATCAAATCTTCTATTTTAAATACTTCCTCTACATTGTTAGACTTAAGTAGTTATTTTTTTTCCTGATTGTTGTTGAGTTCTGCCTTCTATTTAGAGGCTAAAAAGAATTTTCTATAGACCAACGACTTCCTTCATTCAAAGAATGGAAGGACACTTCTAGGAACAGTTGCTGCAGGAACAAGAAAAGAGGCACCTGGGACTTATTCTGAGAAAAGTTAAAGGCCTTATTATCTGGAACGGAGATGAACCAGCCTTGGAAATAAACACAAACGAGGGCAAAGTAATTTGAAAGCTCAGAGGAAACTGAAGAGCTAATTAAGCTGCAGCTCAACTGCRTGTTTTCTGATGTAGGAAATGCTGCACTGAAGTATTTTATTTTTCCTGCAGACAAGAAATATTTAGCAAAATACCTGTTTCTGTGTATGATCAGTAAAATGGAAACTACTGTTTCTGTTTCCTGTTAGCTTATATTCTTTATAGCATAATAGTGAGTAGCTTATTGTTTGCAGTAAGATTATTAAATCTTGCATTAGAAAACTGTAAAACAGCTTGTAATGCATAAATCTGGATGTTAGTGAATAAAGGAATAAAGTGATAAAATATCAGGTCACGTCTTCAAACAGCTGCTGTRCTTTTTGTAAGAAAACAAACATTAAAAAACAGATTTATTCTCTGTTTGCTTATAGAAGGTGAGATTAGTGGCTTCAGCTGCACAGGAGGGGCGACCCGAGGACGAGGGAGTGAAGGGGGTAAGTG